CCCTGACCTTGGAAAAATTTCCCAGTTTCCTCACATTTAATACAAGAGAGCTGGACTAAATGCTGTCTAGACTCCTATGTAGTTCTAATACTTTATGTGCATATCTGATGCCTAGCAAATATTTCGTAAAGATTATGACTCATGTGTTGGCCAATGTGGATGGAATGAGCCAGGGAAAAACAGAAATCAGGCTTTGGGCCATTAAATCAGTTTAAAAGATTAAATAACTCCACTCTCCTCCCTTCTCATTTCAGCCACAACCTAAGGAGCTGGAATGGCAATTAGATATACGAACTCTATGCTTAAATAAAAAAAGGTACTGTTTACTTAAAAATTCTGCAACTGTCTACTACACATAATTATCAGAAATTAGATATATTGATTGCTAAGCTGTCATCTCTGTGTGGATGGTTGACAATTAGTATAAATAAAAATCACTCTTAGATTCCATTTTAATAATCCTGTCAACAACAGACTAAACACAACCAACATCATTTGTGTTACAAATAACTGAATTCAGAAGGTTCCCATTTGACTAACTCTATGTTAACTGAAAAACCAATTTCTTTGCTTGATGCTGTTGAAATAGGTTTTTTTTTTTTTAATATAAGACAGGGACTGTGAGATCCAGTTATAGAAAACAGTAGTAGGCTATTCAAATAGCAACAGGGAAAAAACTCCATATTACAGAAATCATGACTTACAATTTTTTGAGTGTGTATTTTACACAAGGCCATACATGGTACCTTAATGATGTAAGTGGCTTAAAAACAAATCTGTTGGGTGAGGGTTGATTCCAGTCACAAATACTAATTTTCTCTATATTTCCTTAAAACTACTATAGGCAGCAATAAAAAAACTGCCCAGTCTTATGATTATTTATTTAAAACAGCATGTTATATAATACTGGTGTTTAATATTTTTTTAAAAAGTACTGCTTATTAAGACATGTACAAATAGCTGTAGCAAAGCCTATGAAGATAAGGCAGAACCTCATGCATTCATTTGCCCACTGACCAAACACTGTGTGCTACCAAGAGCTAGACGCTGCTCTGGGTGCTGGAGATGGCAGTGGGGAAAGACCCAATAAAGTAACCTTCTGTTTCCGTGGGGTTTAAATTCTAAGAGGTTAGACAGACAGTAAATACATAAGGAAATAAATACGTCATATAACAAATGCTAAATAGAAAGTACAAAGAGGAGGGGGCAAAGAGTGATGGGGAATTTTATGTTGATTTGCCAAGGAAGCCACTCTGATAAGATGCCAGTAGAGCAGAGGCTTGCATGGAGAGAGGAATGAGCCAGGAAAACATCTAGGAAAGAGAGTTCCAGGCAGAGAGAACAGCAACCAAAATATCTGAACCATTCTAAGAAGTACAACATGAATCTGGAAAACCTAGGCTTTGAAAAAAATATTGCAGGCTTTCCTATAGCTTAAGTTGTGTCGTTTCTACTAAGCCTCTTTGACCACTCAAATTCTAGTCACCTCCTGCTGCCCTGAACTCCTACAGCAAATCTAACTTGTCACTGAACACCATGAAATGCTGTTTTGTTTTGTTTCTAGGGGTGGAGGGAGTGTGATCCCCTCATTGAACGGCAAACTTTAGAACAAGGATGATACTGTGTGCTATTTCTGATACCAAACTCTTGCCTCTACCCTATGTGCCCCAGTGTTCAACATATGCTAAGATTCTTAATAAAAGTATTTGATTAACCAAAGGTGGTGTGTGCAAAATTAGTTGCAATTTGAAGTTTTTAATGGGAGATATTTCCTTGTCACGATTCCCTGGGTGTGGCATTGAATCGCTGTCAGGATCTCATATTTCCATTTGTGATGGTACACGCTCATCCCAACATACACAAAAGCTTCCTTAAAAGGAGAAAAACATAACAAATGAGGAGATATATTAAAAGGCTTTATTTACAATAGAGAAATTTTACAAATATAATTTTTAAAAATTATGTGTCAATCTATTATGTTTCCCATAACATTAGAGATTTATATAAAGTTGGAAATGACAGGATGGATTTATGCACAAATCAAGAACAATCAATGGAAGGAATGGGTAATACATGTGAAGGCGTCATGACAAACATCACTGAGTTCTGTAAACTGCCATACAACTTAAACGTGTAATATTAACTGCACAAAGTATACCAAAACATATGCAGAAACACAAAATTAAGTGCTGTTTTAATTATTCACTTTTTGGGATGTGAATACATAAGTAAACTTCATTGTACAGTTTTTGCTGAAAATGAATGAAAGACAGTATCTACCTAAGGACTTCAGTTGTTTAAAATAATTAACACAAACTATATAATTAAATTATACCATCATAATATTAATCTCTTATCTTGTTTACATTTTTGGTGTTTTGGGACTTGGGTTAAAAAAATCCAAGTTCTGCAATGAAAGAACTTTGTTCTTTCCATTGGCTGAGCAGCATGTAGTATAGTCACCTCGCCTGTTAATGCCAGAACACGGACGGTACCTCCCAGTGCAGTGTGTGCATACAATCTGATTTTAATATCCTATTCTGCTGCAGAAATACCTATCAGCTTGTGCTCTTTCAAATCAGATTGAAAAGCAAAGAAAATAAATTAATTAAAATTGCTAGTCCAAGGATGTTCATATGAAAATTATAATCTAAATATATATGGTCCAATTTTGACAAGAATCTTCTATATTTTGCCTTTAAGCAAAGGCACTATCCATTCATTTCATAGGGTGAGCTGAAGATATGAGTGGAAGAAATTATTCTGTGTCACAGAAACACATTAACATAGCAATCATGATGTACTAAAGGAGATCTTTTTCATTTACTAATTGTATTGATCTATTCTTTGACATATACCAATGTATAATATTGAAAAAAGGGCAGGTCATACAAGGTGGTCCTTTCAGACAAAGGAAATCTTTAGAAACACTTTCAAAAGCTGAAAGAGCTAAAACAACTAAGTCTATTGAGATGTAAGAAAATAACTGTCTTAAAAAATACTAGGTTGAGCCCCATGAAATGACTGGTATTGAACAGTTTTTAAAGTAAAAATGCCTCCATTTCATGTGCTTCAGGATAATCCGTGGGGTGGCACTGACCTGCCCAACCACAGGAGGCTGAAAATGCAGGTGGTCAAAGCTTTGTACCTTGGGACAGGCATCATCATATTAGCCCTTTCATGAGAATATATATAAAATATGAAAACACAAGGTGTCACCAAATCTATTCTTGGGAAAACAACTCATATCTCAAAAAAATGCTTTGAAGAATCATATAATTATTTTGATTGCTACAGGACTGTGGAGGATTGGGAGTGTCCATTCCTATGTATTATTTCTAAGCGGAGATCTCTATGTTGAATTTAACCAGATAAAATACACTATACCCTAATTTGGCCGAAAGGTTTATTAGATTTTCCTCAATTGACCGGGGAAGAGATACATTGGCAAAACTTTTTTCAGAGTTAAATCCTGCTTTCATAACCTGAAATGAAATGATTTACTACATTTGAGAAAGGGCTCTTTTCAAATCTGAAAAATCTGAATCAAATGTAATGCTTTCTTTTTTTCAAGAAAACAATTGAAGATGAAATGCAAATTAAAACCATATGAAATACTCACCCTCTCTGTGGAGAGACGCATTCTCTTCATATATTCAGATAAAAGCAAAGTCTAACACACTTATAAAAGTTATACAATTTCTCTTTAAAAAATATAATTCAGTAATAGCAGAGCTCTGCAAAACCGGAAAGCTCACCTTGCTGTGTGGTAGGAAACAGAGTAAACTGATTTAAAGTCAAACTTGGGAACTAATTCTCAAATTAGAAAACACTAATATAATTAACCAACAAAAATACACTGTGGTTCCAGTGAAATGAGGTCAACAGGAGATGATCCTTTTGGGATGAGATTCTAATTTGAATTACAATGTGAAGTCTTTTAGAAGACATTCTATCAAATAATGATAGACCCGCATAAGGAGGCTGTCACAGTTATAAGATCTGTCTCTGGCGGATAGAAAACCAGATTAACATAAAATTGAAAAGGAAAGAGCTTTTTCATTATTTAATTTATTATTATGGCTTTTGCAACATGGCAAAACATTACAGCTTAAAGCAGACATCATCTCCTCATAGAGGAGGAAAAAGTTTTGCAGTCAAATCAAAATCGTAATTAAGAGGTCATTGGTATACCATTCTACTCAGTTTAACACAAATGATACCATACCTTCATGAACTCCAGAGATAACAGATTACTTAAAAAAACAAGCAAACAAACCTGTGATTCACTGACTGAATAATAAAGGATACAATGAGGAATTTATGTCCATTGATGCCTATGATAACAAACATAAAAGACTGCAAAACGATTTTAGAACTTAGGATAATCACAGACCTATTAATAAAAATTCAGCATGTGCCTGAACACCAGAAAAGGAATTATTAAGGTATGCAGTGAAGGGAGTGGAGTAGAGTAGAGTAAAACATAAAATGTCTTTTTATTGGTCATTGACTTCAGCTTTCTTTATATTATTAGAGAGGACAGGGAGAAGATGGGCTTCGGTATTGAAGATCCAATGTTTCAGAGGAAGTAGATCGTCATCAGAAAATATTAAGTACAAATATCTGGAAAGAGAAACATGGGTGTATGAGGCCTGGAGACTGCCAAGGAGTGAAACCACAAAGACAGAAAAAAACCACATCAATGTCTCCTTTCATCTTACGGAGAACCATGGACAACAGTCAGGGAAAGCAAAACCCTGAGGGGGGTACTCAGTGCTGAGCAAAGAGGCTGCTTTGCTCGTGTCTGAGAACCACACAAAGCGGCCCCAGGCCGTCGGGCTTACACGTGACTGAAGGCACACCTGCAATTATCGCCACGCGTGTACAACGGCATTCAGAAGCAGTCATGCCTGACGTTATGCGAGTGTACTCACGATACAGACAACCAGAAAGATCTGTCCAGGTATCCCAGTCATACATGCTCAGAATGATTTTACTCACTTGAGCGTCTCTGCCAGGAAGAAGCTCTGCTGCACGTCGTCGTAGCTCTCACGGCTCAGGTAAACGTCCCTGAGGCCTGAATAGCCTCCTTTCAGTCTGCAGTGATTTTCCAGGGCCTAATGCACCAAGAGGAGGAGGGAAAAACAGTCATTCTTCAGTAAACTGATTGTCACAAATTTTTACTATAGATTGTCACATTTAAATAAAACAAGGATTCAAACTGAATGACAGACAGCGACAGGTTCAGGCAAAAATTTCAAACATGGTGACAGGGAAGTGTAAATAAAGTATGAAAAGTTAAAGGACATGCGGACAATCTATTTCATCTAACTGGGAACGCTCTCACATTTAGTTTTAGAATAATTTTTCAGTGAGTTTTACCATTTCCTCCTGTGGTCTAGAGTAGGGTTCGTCAAACTACAGACCACAGGAGAATCCAAAATTTTGCTTTTACAAATAAAGCATTATTTAGTATACTGTATAGCATAGGGAACTATATTCAATATCTTGCAGTAACTTATGGTTAGAAAGAATATGAAAACAAATATACGTATGTTCCTATACAACTGATGTACTGTGCTGAATACCAGAAGTTGACACAATATTGTAAACTGATTATACTTAAGTCAAAATATATTAAAAAATAAATAAAGTATTATTGAACCAGAGACATGCCCACTTGCTTACATACTGTATGTGGTTGTTTTTTCACTATCGTGGCAGAGATGAGTAGTTGCGTATGGCCCCCGAGCCTAGTTCTCTCTGGCCTTTCCAGAAAAAGTTTGCTGACCTCTGGTCTAGAGAGATTGTTAATGCCAATTGGGATCCTACACCACTGCTTGAGAAAGTGTACTGGACCCAAAACAGCTGCCTCTGTCATCAGAACATCTTACTCCTTAAAAATTGACTGTGGAATACTAATTAGTGATACTGGTGACTGACAGATATAAAGGGAGAAGATGGAAAGCAGTGAAAAAAACACGGCTGGTGTCTTATTTCTGAACTATATTTTTCTTTTCTTTAGTCTGGGATGGAAGAAGATGGGATGAATCCACTGGTAACTAGAGAGACGTGATCCTGCGTTGCTATGCTGCCTGACTGTAGTGAGTATCATAGTCCAAGATGGGAAGAAAACATTGGGCAGTGTGGGAATGAAAATTTAGGTAAGAACCTAAATCAATTTGCCTTCCACTTAGCTGTCACTAACGTGACTGTTGTTTGTATTTTGAAATTACATTGATTTGCTTTGCTAGTTACCAGGCATATTCATCTCTAGGAAAGTTATTTTCTACTCATAATATCTTATTAATTCTATTAACCATATGGTCAAATAAAGATGTCCATTGTATAAGAACTGTCATCAGAAATCTGGTTATAATTCATAGAACACGACAAAAATAATAAGACTAAATAAACCCCCTAATATTTATAATGAGATAAAACACAGGAAACGCCAATAAGATAGAGCTCCTCTCAGATTCTCATGTCATTTTTTCATTTCTTCCTCAGTTTTCTTTCACAAGTCACAACCCTGTCCCTCTTTTTTCACATGCATAATTGTATTCTGTCTTCCTCCCACTTAGCCCAACTACCAAGAAGATATGGCATTGATCTTGCCGTATTAGTTGAGAAAATCTTCACTGGCTAGAAAAGGGCTTTGGAGGAAAGTATAGCTCTAATGACCCGGGGCCTGGAAGAGGGGAGAGGGAGGCAAACCCAGGGAGCAGGAATGGGGCGCTGAGAGCTCAGCTTCCATCTGCGCATGCTGATAATGAGGATATTGATTCTGCATGTGAGGGCTGGAGGGCAGAAGGGAGCCGTGAGGAGAAGCATTTAATTACCAGGTTAAAGGAAATCTAACTGGCAGCCTACTTGAATAAAGAACACGTCTCATGATGTGGTACTTTCTAAAAGCCCTGGGGAAAATAAGAACAATCAACTTAACCACAAAAAAAAGTGCTTTGATTATATATTCTCAGTTGCAGACAATGAGCTAAGTCAGGGAAAAGCCTGAAGAAAGGAACTTTCTGGTCTTATTATATTTTTCCTTTCTTCCTTTTTTGATAACAGTTCTTTCTGATAAAAAGTCAAATACCAGATACATGGTGTAGGCAAAAAATTATCAGTAAAAAAAGAAAAAAAAGTCAAATCTAAATTTTAAGACTTTAGGGATGTGAAGCTGGGGACAAGCAGCTCTCCTGGGCTCCCCCAGTAGGCCTGGTTTTATAGTTTCTCCACAGCAGAAGTGGTCACGTATCCACGCCACTTAGTCTGATCAGGACATCATTTGACTACAACTTGTTCTTGGGATTCTCAGCCTCTGGGAATAGGATTCCTCTGAGAACAGAGCATGAAACAAGGGTTGGATGCATGGAGTTTTTTTTGGAGGTGACATCAGGAAGTGAGCCAGCGGGGAGAGGGAAAGAAGGAAGGGAAAAGGGCCAGTGGAAGACACGGAACAGGTCACCGCTGTGTGCACTGGGGGCTCACCCCTGCCAGGAACCCTCTAAGGAACCATGTAGGACACATCTTGGAATTATTCTTCAGAGGAGTAAGACTGGGATAGTTACCATCGACTCCAAAACCTCACTGGCTGGGGGTTGCCCTGGGGCCGCTAACTCTCCCACATTTCCCAGACCACAGCCAGCTGCCTGGGAAGGGGCTCAGAGTCCGAGTAGCTGAGAAGCCCTGGGTGGTGATGCTGTCAGGAGGCCAGGCGCCCCAGCAGCCAAAGCTGAGACATAGGGTGGGGCTGGGGGATGGGATACAGGAAAGAAGGGGGAAAACTGCCGCCACACCTTCTAAGTCTATGATCTTTGTGCTTAAGAAAGGCAAGAGCCTCCAGCACTCCTCCCTCCCCACTACAGCTCAAGTCCGAACAGAAGGTACCAATGGCAGAAACGGGGGCAATCCCTGCTTTGTGACACAGGGAAACAATCTGACATCATGTGCTACACTAAAGGTAGACAATAGATAAAAATCCTAGCACATAAAGCCAACCTTATTCCCCCACAAATAAACAAACACCCCTGAAGAACCAAGCAAATCAAAGCTGCCTGCCCACAAGATGGTAGAGATTTGCTGACTTTCCATTTTTGATCAATCCCGTCATACATTTTTCACATTTTCACATCTCTAAAACTGGCATGCCATAATTTAATTGGTAGTGACATGCTTCCTTAGTGGTATATAAAATAACGGTATTTCTTATCAATTATGGTGTCTTATACTTAATGATACGCTATTGCTGATATTTTCAATTTATCTGATGTTTTCAAAGTGAATATTAATGTTAATTCCTTTGCTGGTCTATCGAAGCCCAAAGTAATTCCCATCACTAAGGCTTAGATGAATCTCAATTTTAATATACTTTTCTCAGAGGAAAAAAAAAAGATAAATTTAAAGAAATTGGAATTACCATTGACTAAACATAATTAGAAAACTTTGCAAAAAAAAAGAGGCCTAAAAGCTGCTATTGCTTAAAATGACTGACAACTGGTGATAAGGCACGCACAAAATGAAGTCGGTAATAAGCAAGATGCATCAACGGCTTCCTAAGATATTAGTTAAATTTTACACAAAGGCAATATTCATTTTAGATTTCCTGAGAGAAGTTATTCTTAACAGTTTTAAAAGAAAACTAACTTTCTCACAAAGAGTGCTAGACAGTAAGAGTGTAATTAAAGCATTTGCTAGTTCTTACCCCCTGAATTCCCTACCACTCCTTTTGGAATAATAGCTCTTAAAATTAGACATTGTTTGATGCATATCCTGGAGGGTGCCTCCGCTGGCATCCAGCACACAAAGTGTTTAGCAGGTTAGTTTAGGAAGATGACACAAAACATTCAACAGGAAGAGACCCAAGAAATGACAAAGATAATTAACACACTGGACAGATAGAAAGCTTAGAGCTATTCAGAGAATCTGGAGACTAGTGAAGGAATATTCTCGTGCAAAGCAGTTCCTCTGTAAGTACTTTCTAAAAGATCTGCATAGCTAACTTACTCTAAGTAAAACCATATATTATCATTTCAATGCCCCAAGACTAAAAGAAGCTACCACATAGTGGCTTCTTGAAACAGACAACAGGCAGGGGTTGACTACTTCCAACTTGCCAGTAACCTTCTGTGTAATTAAGTGATCATCATTTCTACACTCGTGAGAACTTAATTTTGTAATATTCTTGTCTAGATTTGTCCTTCAATACCAAAGTAGGCATATTTACATCACTGTTACATAAAGCAAAGCTGAATCCAGGGATATAGGATGACTTAACTGAGAATACTCAGTCTTGAATGGAAAAATGGCTGGTCAAAGCTCTAAGTTTTAAAAATCATAGAAAAGTTGATATGCTAGATTTGTAGGTACCATTGAACATTTTTTTCCAGAGACATTTATATATAAGAAATGTGAGCAAATTAAAACGTCACCTCTACGACTTCCCAGGCCCATTTCCTGTACTTTGGGTCATGAGTCAGTCGCCACATGTACATGTAAGTCTCGACAACTTCTGGCCGTAGGATGTAGTATTTCTCATTCTGCCGTGTAGCAATGGCTTCAACACCACCATCGAATCTGAAAGCTTCTGGTCCCAGTTTCATAACTAAAGGACATGCAACAGGTGACAAGGGTCATTGTCCTAGACAATGCTTAGTGTCTATAACTAAAATGAAACTAGAAAGTACTTTATAACATTCAAGAGAGATGCCAAAACAATTATTTTATGGAATAGTTATAAACATTGTATAATAAGCAATATTAAATATACCTTTCTAATTTATTCATCAAAAAGAGTTCATCTTAGAAAATGGTAATGATCCTTTATTTTCTTTCATTTAGCCACCATTTACTGAGTACCCACTGGGTAGGTGCACAGCACCACCTCACTAGCGAGCTAGAAAATCTGTGGTGGAGAATTTTAAGTCATTACATTGTGAAGGGTATTCAGTCTTTGTGCTTCGAGCTTCTGTTTTATAAGAAGGGAGCCAGACTCTTCATCTATTTCATGGAGATTCTGGGAAGATCAATGAATAGTTTATAAAATACTAAGTTTCTTTTGCACTGAGACAGAGACTCTCACCAATGTTATTTACTTAAGGCAGGGCAAATAAGTCAGACTGATTTAACACTTGATGGCCTGGATTTCTGCTTCTTGGTAAACGAAAGGTAAATATTTTTATGTAGGAAAGCAGTGCCTCTTAAAGTAAAAATATAAATTCCTTTACGATATTAATCACGAACACCAAGTTTCATCAGGCATATTCTTTTGAGGGCAACAATGGACAACAAATGGACAAAGTTCCTTACTGAATGGAGCAAAAAGCATGCGGGAACAGACTGCAAATGAAGACGAGTGCGTACTCACACGTGCGATTGTAAGACTCATGACAGGTACGGGCAATTTCAGTCCCGAGCTGAAGGTAGTGTTCGGTCAGGCCTTTCGGGGCGTCATGTGCCCCAAGCGCAAACATGCCCCCAGCAAAGCAGGTCAGGTGGCCCATCTTGTGTTCCAGGAGGCCCCCTTTCCACTCTGCGATGTAAGTCAGCCCGTTACTCGACTTTCGGATCAAGTGGGTCTCAATTGCCTGAAAATCATACTTATTTTTAATATTTTGTAATCTCCTCTCAAATTTATACTAAAAACACCCCCAACATTAAAAAAAGAAAAGGATAAAACATCACTCACAATTTGAAATCGGTGCTACAAGTCAATTCAACCTGAAATTTCATGTCACTGCTTTCTGTGTATTTCCTCTAGCCCATGCCTCACTAGTTTGGTTAGTCAGGATTAACGCTGTTGGGCCAGCCCTGTTGGCTTTGCTTGGTTCCCTAACTAAACACTTATAGCCTTTTTACCCTCCAAAAGCTGTCTCTTTTTCAAAGACAGGCCATGGGTATAGTGGTAATAGTTGCTTTAGTGTATTTCCATTTTCACAAATGAAGAAACAACACAAAGCAGCACAGGCCGTACCATGAATGATGAACAGAGCACATCTGTGAGTAAAACCCAGCCTGGCGGTACTTCCCTTCCTTTCCCTCTCCTAGGCGTGGGGAGGCAGCAGAACACAGTGGGAAAAAGGAGCTGGTCCTGAGTCCGATTGCTTGGCTTCAAATTCCAGCCCTGACACTATCTGTAAATTTTGTGGGTTATTTGCTTACGATATCCTTAAATTTCAGTATCCTTATCCAGAAAATGGGAATAGTAGTATCTACTGTGAAAATGGCAACATTTTGTTTATAAAGAGATCAGTACTGTGATTAGCACTTGATAAAGGTCACTTATCATGATCACATCTCCACTGTGGTCCAACACTTGAATTAAATTCCTCATAATAATTCTATTTAAAAAGGATATTCATATATAATAAATAAGTATTTTTTTAAAAAAGAATAAGGTCTATAAATTTGGGAGAGATGATGTTTACAAGAACGGTTTATTAAACACCTTTTATTTCTGCCCAGGACAGCTGATATCCTTTTGATTAGATAAATAAAAGAAGTCTTATTTTTTTTTTAAACAAAAATGTAGTGTAAGTGCTTGGCATCACTGTTTTTAATTACTGTAATAGGAAGTGTCCTCCCCCCACCCAATTTCTTCATGGAAGGAGAAAGACTATGACTGTGACTGCACCTGTTATACTATTAACAAAAAAGAGACGCTTTAAAAAAAAGAGAGAGGATTTTACGAAGCACATTTGGGAATACAGGCACACCTCATTTTATTGTGCTTTGCTTTACTGCACTTCACAGACTGCATTTTTCACAAATTGAAGTTTTGTGGTAACCCTGCATCAAGTTCATGAGTCTATCAGTGCCGTTTCTCCAATAGCATTTGCTCTTTTCATGTCTCTGTGGCATATTTTGATAATTCTCAAAATACTTCAGATGTTTTCATTATTACTATATTCATTATGGTGATCTGAGATCAGTGATCTTTGAGGTGACTATTCCGACTCACTGAAGGCTCAGATAATGGTTAGCATTTTTTAGCAATAATGTATCTTTTACTTAAGGTATATATATTGTTTTTTTAGACATAATGCTATTGAACATTTAATAGCCTAGAGTATAGTGAAAATATAACTTTTATATGCACAGGAAAACCAAGAAAACCTCATGTGACTTGCTTTACAGTATTATTTGCTTTGGTGCAGTGGTCTGAAACTG